CCATAGAAGGTGACACAACTCAGCCCAGAAAATCAAGCAAGGGAATGAGAATGATACAGAAACTTAATGAAGCTGTAAAAAAAGAAGGATCCTTTTGTGTCTCTTCAGAAACAGTAGTTTTTCAGCCTGAAAAACACCTCTTTTCTTCCAAAAAGAAAACCAATAGAGGAAGGGGAGCTGGGCAAGGATTTTTCCTACTTCACAAGCAATAGCCATAAGACAATTTCACCTTTAAGGAGGAACTTTTCTCATTACACTTTGGGATATGTCACAAAATGTTCATGCTTTATGGATTTGTCTTAATTGTAGAAAACCCCTGAAAAATCACCTGGCCAATCAGTAATATTTGATAGATTTGTAAGTGGCGTACATATGTGGGCAGTCGTAATGTCTGGGTGAAACCCTGTTCCCAACTATTTGCGTAAGTGCCACCTTAATCATTTTGTATGGACAGAGTGTCTTCAACGCCCATGAAGTCTCCCTCCTTCTCGGAAACCTGCTTTAGGAATGCTGCACTGCTTATGATGCTCTTATGACTTAAAACATGCACCTGGCAGCCCGGAGACGTGCCCAGTTCCTGGCTTTACTCCAGCTGCGCATGGCTCAGATCTGCTGGCTTTCAGCTGCCAGTGGGTGTAGCTGGTGAAACTCTGTTCACTGGTATTTGAAAAGATTTGTTTTCATCTTTATTAAAGCCACTGATTGAGAGTGAGTAATGCTATCATGTTTCTTGGCTCATGTTGATTCAAAAGCTTCTTCCACGTAGTTTCAGGTTGCCTTTGTGTAGCAGCTTCCAGCCTTACTGGAAAAGTCCCTTGGATTTTTTGCATCACTCTTTTTGTCAGGAGTTGCAGGACTCGTTTGTTTGGGTTCCCCCCCCAATTTTAATTCTTCTTCATTAGATAAGTAGTACATGGTGAACCATGTTCCTTGTGATTCTTTTTTTTTTTTTTTTGACCTTTTCATTTCCCAAGAGTGTAGAGGGGATTAGAAGGGTAGTGATATGTGAGGATGGTTGCTGGGGTGCTTTTGCTGATGTTGGACAGTATGCAGTAATAAAGTAAGCTCACACTGTTTGCAAACCAAATAGCGTCAGCCGAAACATCCTTTTACATAGGAAGGTAAGCAAGGACTGATCTACATCTCATGCTCTGTCTTGAATCCTAAGCCTGTTACTCCATCAGCAGATCCACAAAGAAAACCAACCAGTCTCTTAGACATATATTAAATAAGACACAAACCAACCTTTAATTAATCCTTTCGTTGAAGGTAAATACCTATTCAGAAATGGAATTGGAGTAGAACAGTACAGGAATGTGGGGAATCCTGAGCATGTGTGTTATGAATGGCATTTACTGAAGAGACTCTGGAAGAAAGGTTGCTACAGCCTTTTCCACACAGGTTGAGAGTCTTTGTTCAATCATCAGAAAAGACAAGATAAACTACTTGAGCTTGTCTCTGATTTGTTGTCTTTGCTTGCTGTTGTTGAACTGTCATATAATAACATCAGTTATATGTTATGTCAGTTACATGTAATTGCAGATAGATTATTGCAGAGTTCCTTTATAAACTTTAACTAGGCCAGGTGAATAAAAATCAAATATTCTTCAATAAGTAGTGTTGTTGAACCTGGTCAGCACTGGGATTTTGTCTGTTAGCAGAAATGGGGTTCTTTATGCAATATTGACTAGTCTTTTTACAAGATTAGAAATTTTCCGGTGAGGACATTATTGACCTAAGTCATGAATAAAGCTGTGTTATATACCCAAAGAGAAATTCCTAATGTGATAGTGTAATTCAGTGATCGGTTTTCTCAAGCCGCATGCCAGTTCTTTGTTCCTTGTTCAGCATCTTGCAGCGGTGTTGCATTTGAGGAGATCTTCAAATGAGGTATGGCAGAAGGAGCCCTACTTACATTTTAAAGTACTGATAGAGATGATGCATCCAAAATTCCTATAATTCTCAAAACATGGTTTAAAAGAATATCGTCTTGTTTTGCTGTTTGAGCAGGTAAAACAGCTCAGTGTGTAATTTTATAGATAGTAAGAAGTAATTAGCTGGTGGAGGCAGAAATTTCCTTGAGCTTTGAATGTATCATGTTGATGAAATGTGATGAATTAGAGCTGATGATAATTATAATAACCTTGAGCAATAAAATCATGAGCATTAGAAGCCATCTTCTGACTCCTGTACTCACATTCTTAAACTGGAATTCTCATGTAACTATTTGGTTCTTAGGTTTGAGATTTTTGTTGGTGTTTCTTTTTAAGGAAATAGTAAGTTTGTCTCTAGTTTTTTAGATTGCTTCCATTTGGCTTTGACAAATGGTTTCCTTCTTTTCTGGATAAGCAAAAGTAGGTGGGATATATGACTCTCTGTACTTGACATAAAAAACTTCATAGAGCTTTCTTGAAGTTCTTTAATACTAGGCGTCTGCAAATATATGAATTTTCCAATAACGTGGTATGATGGTCTTTGACCTTGGCTGGACACCAGGTGACCACCGTGCTGTTTTATCACTCCCCCTCCTCAGCTGGACAAGGGAGAGAAAAATATAGTGAAAGGCTCATAGGTCAAGATAAGGACAGGGAGATCACTCACCAATTACTGTCATGGGCAAAAGAGACTTGACAAAATTAATGTAATTTATTGCCAATCAAATCAGAGTAGGGTAATGAGAAATAAAACTAAATCTTAAATACTCCCCTCCGCCCCCTTCCTCCCAGGCTCAACTTCACTCCCAATTTTCTCTACCTCCTCCCCCCAAACAGCACAGGGAGATGAGGAATGGCAGTTGTGGTCAGTTCATCATATGTCTTCTCTGCCACTCCTTCCTCCTCAGACTCTTCCCCTGCTCCAGCGTGGGGCCGCCCAACCCACAGGAGACAGTTCTCCATGAAAATCTCCAGCGTGAGTCCTTCCCATGGGCTGCAGTTCTTTACCAACTGCTCCAGAGTGGGTACTTTCCACGGGGTGCAGACCTTCACGAACAGACTGCTCCAGCGTGGGTCCCCCATGAGGTCACAAGTTGTGCCAGCAAACCTGCTCCAGCACAGGCTCCTCTTTCCATGGGGTCACAGGTTCTGCCAGGAGCCTCCTCCAGTGTGAGCTTCCCATGGGGTCAGAGCCTCCTTCAGGTACCTGCTCTGGTATGGGGTCCTCCACGGGCTGCAGGTGGGTATCTGCTCCACTGTGGACCTCAGGGTTGCAGGGGGACAGCGTGCTTCACCATGGTCTTTTCCATGGGCCGCAGGGGAATCTCTGCTCCAGCGCCTGGAGCACCTCCTCCCCTTCCTTCATCACTGACCTGGGGGCCTGCAGAGTTGTTGCTTTCACATATTCTCACTCCTCTCTTCCAGCTGCTGTTGTGCCACAGTTTTTTACCCTTAAATGTGATATCACAGAGGTGCTACCATTGTCACCGATCGGCTTGGCTTTGGCCAGCAGCAGGTCCTTCTTGGAGCCAGCTGGCGTTGGCTCTGTCGGACATAGCAGGTTCTCACAGAAGCCCCCGGCTGCAGCCCCCCTGCTACCAAAACCTTGCCACATAAACTAATTCCTGTGGCAACTTACAACACGAAAATCAATCATTCTACTTGGTCAGCCTGTGCTAGAAACACTTGGAGTGTAAATGGGAAGATAACTGTGCAATGAGTTGTGTTGATTGACTAGTATTTTTCTTTGGTGTTTACTTCTCATGTTTGTTTTAAAGCCATAGCTTTAAAGAAAGAAGAAAAATAAGTTCACCCCTTTTTAAACATACAGATAATCTCATTGCTTTAAGCCTCAGGTCTGGACACATTCAGAGTCTTTTCTATTGGCTGTCACACTGGTGTGATTGCACAGCAATACATACTCCCTGTGAGCTGGATAGTAATGGAAATATATTTCATCATCTTCTCAATAATCCTTATTAAGCATGCTGGTTTTGTTATGAAGCAGTAAGTTCCTGGCTCCCACTGATGTGACATGGCAATATGAGAATCCAGGGTCAGTAACTTTGGTCTTGAATTTTTCATATTCTAAAACAATGATATCATTGGTGTAGTGGTCTGAGCTTCTGAAAAAGGTGTTATGGAAACTCATTACAGCTTTCCTAAAAACTAAACAAATACAAAACCCAAGCAAAGCTTTTTTAAAACTCCAGATACTTATTTTTGTGAATTTAAAAATGCTGTGCTGCAGCAATTTTTCATGAATTAATTTTAGAAATTTGATTTGTAGATTACTGCATTCATGTGCAAGTTTATGCAGTACATAAAGTTTGCTTATGGACCTCATGTTACTTGTTGTCATTGTTATTTTTATTGCTATTATTTCTACTTCCTTAAAGAATAACCAAGAAAATGTCCCTGTAGTGCTGGGGAGCAAACATGTAGAAAGAGGTCCCATTCTGAACCAGAGCTGTGCCAGTGACCTGGGCAAGCTGGATGTGCCATAGTGGCAGCACACGTGAACACCCAGGCCAAGTGAATTCAATAACAGCAGCAAACAGGGCAGAAGTGAATAAAATGAAAAGGCCAAGTGCGGGGATGAATAACACAAATGTAGAGACAAAAAGGCCATGGGAGTAGAGGTAGAACAGTTTCTTTGTGAAGTCTATTCAAAATTCTAAACAATCTGAAAGTCTCAAAGGGTTGTCTCTCTGGTTGGATCTTGTTTGTGATTGTACTTTTTCTCCAGAAGGAGTAGTTGAGTTTGAAGTAGACCTCTAGGCTAGAATGGTCCCATTTTATTGTTTTCCCTACTGTGGTTGGTTCTGGCATTGTGTTTGTTCAGCCTAATGCTGCACAGTTGCACAAGGGCAGTTTTAATTTTAGTGATTTTAATAGTTATTTTTTTCCTGTTTTTTTTCTTTTAAAGTTGTAATAAACCTTTGAAACTATCAATGATAAATATTGCGTTTAATGAATTTTTTTTTTCTTTTTAACTGATTTTTGAATAGGAATTTTTCAGAGGAAAAAGAGGATTCAAGTAATGGCAATGTATTCCCTCTACAGGATTTATGAACGTATCGTTGATCCCCCAGAAACGAATTTGACACCTGAAAGCAATTTATGGCTTGGACAGAGAAACAGAAAACATGGTTTCTTCAAGGTAAGCAGATATGAAATGGCACATGAAGAAGGAAATTAATAAATAATCAAAAAGATATTTCTGATTAGTCATCTTAGACTCCTGAAATCTGATTTGTATGAGTTTTAGTAGAAGCTGTGGACTTGGGATTTGAGTTAGGTCCAACACTTAGAGAAAAGGATCTCTTCCTGCAAGGTAAGAGTATCGTAGTCACTGACTGCAGTGCCCAGTATTTGAAGGTTTTGTTTGGTTTCGTTACCTTCCTACCTCCCTGCTGTGGGCCTGCCTTGCTACTCCTGGGGACAGAACGAGACTGTGTAGGCAGCCTAAGAGTCTATTCTTGGCTTTCATCTTTAAACCTTCCTGAAACGACAGCTTTGCTGTGACTTCCTGGCCAGGCAGTGGTGCTCTTAGGCCATTTCCTCCTTGATTTCATATGCAGAATCCTCTCACCCTTCTGGGGTTTGCCTGCCCTGGCTCTTCGTTGTTTGCTCTTGTCAGCACTGACTTCTAGAGCAGAGAAGGTCTGCGATCCTTCTGGCTTTGGCAGATACTAGCTATTGTATGCACTGCATTTGCCTTGCTGCAAAACAGTAGATTTTTCTGTTCCTGGAGTACCTTCCTTTCTATTTTTCTCAACTAAGTGTATCACTGTATTTCTCAACAGAGAGTGAGTAGTGGGCCACCAGGTTTTGTTCGTGTTCTTTTGTCCATCGGAGCTTCCATTGCTTCCGAACAGCCCAGGCTGAAAGGCTGGCTAGCTGGTATGACTCAGGTTGTTCCTACCTTCTAGCTGGAAAGCCTGTCTTTTTCCGTTTGTGAGGCTCCCCAAGATGTCATCACTGAGTAGACCAGTATGGGCATGAGGAACTTTACAGATGAAAAAGAAGAGTCAAGTAATGGTGATATATTTCAGATTCAATTAATGACGATGTATTTCCAAAATTGCAAAGAACACAGGAATGACCTACAACTTCAAAAGCCCTCTCCTGCATGTGTTCTTTCATCAATTTTTTTGGCCCCTGGTGAGGCTGTATGATTTTCTGGTTGAGGCTGAATTGCTGAACCAAGCAACAAACAAAATCCACCAACAAAGGAAAACCACCCCCTCCGCCTTAAAATTAATTCTTTTGCTTTGTAAGCAAGCTACAGGAAAGTTTCGGATATTAGTTCAAGTTTTGGATAACAAGCCATGGTGCAAGTGTTTATCAGTGAAAGAGT